TGTTACCGAATGGCAGGTAATAGCAATCCCAGGCACGGTTCAGTGCCTAAATCGCTTGTCACCTTGTAATCCCAGGACTCCCAGTGGAGAGGCAAAGCCTATTTAATAAATATTCTATTTCCACAACCTCACCGCAGCCTCTTCCCAAACCTCCTGCTATGTGCTGGGGTCCCTTAGGTAAGTTTAACGGCTACTTTTCTATTGTCTCCACTTTAAGAGGTCAGTATATCACCGCGAATGAACCCTGTCAGTTTTATTACCAGTGGAGCCCAGTACCACAGAAAACAACAAGACTTCATACACCCCCGCATCTCCCTGGTCTCACAAAAACAGCCTCGCTTGATCAGTCTGTTACTCCAGGCCCCCCTTTATCAACTTTCTGGCCCGTATTTTTCCCTCTGCCTTCCTCCACTGCTTTACTTTGTCTATTATCCATGTCTGTGTTTTGCGCAGTGACTCTGCTTGTGGAGGAAACAACAAGGCAGCTGCTCCTCGCTCCTCCACCCTCTTGCTTTTCTCCTTCCTTTCGTCTGTGGCCGTCTCCTCCCAGGCGTGTTTACAGGAGGCCTGGTAATGAAAGGGCTAGGAGGAGACAAAGACAGCCACAGGCAAGCCCTGGGGGCCCCTGCCTCATGGCTCACAGCCCTTCCAGCTCCAGGATCAGCACCGTGTGTTGCCTGGTTCACTTGGATCAGTCTGTCTTCCAGCCGTATCCGTCTCCTCTGTTGGCTTCCTGTCCTAATCCCGGCACATCTCCCACACGACTCTCTGTCTGGTAGCTGCATTAATTGATGGTCAGTGTTACTCCTTCAAACACAGGAAGAGTCAGCTACACCAACTCGTCTTAACGTACGCTCAAAAAAGCGAAACATCTTTATTGATGAAGATTATATTGATCATTGTAATGAAAAAAAAAAGCAACTCTTAGATCATTAAAATCCGAAAGCCCTAGAGGGGCCGAAGATCTTCGCACATTTACTTTGAGTTGGACCGAAATAATGAGCATGGTGACATATGCATGCTGTCAATAAAAAGTCACAACAAGCGGATCGCTGTCAGAAGCAGCCAGAGATGCAAATGTGATATTGGCTGTCACTACTTGTGTCAAGCAGAACAATTTAACCTTTACAGATGAATATGTATCTGCGTTGTTGTTTGGGGGATGGTCTCATGGACACACAAATCTTGCAGCAGTAACAAACATCCACCTATTCTCTGATGATACTTTCTGTAAAAGCCGTAAATCACGGTTGTCCAAAGCGCAGGCCATGCAACAGCACATGCGGCTGATGCAGAAAGACAGTTTGACATTTTTTAAGGTGGAGATTTTCATAAAACTGTAAAATGCTAAACGCTAACTGTGCTCTTTCTGTTTGATTTTAAATTTAAATATCACCAGCAGCGTTTACTCAACAGCAGACTTGGGCACACCCATTCATTAACCTTGACGAAATACAGAAAAGCTTCCCAAAGACACATTGACTGATGCCCTTGTGTTGTGTTTCACAATTGACAAAACATTTTTACTACACCAAGAAAATAATTAAAAAAGACAAAGAAATGTAGGACATTGCATTCACCCACTTTAATAAGGTAAATGTGCAGGAGCCTTTTTAGTTTTAAATTGAAAGTGATTTTCATATCTGTTTTCTATAAAAATGTGTTTTTCATGAACATTGTGACGAAAGTGGTGCAAGACTTTTCAGTGATGTAGTTCCTCTGACTGGAAACCCTAGAAATATTTTGTTCTCAAGATGTGTTTCACACAGGAATGTGGTGATGCACAGCATGCGGCCTCAATTTCCTGCATCGACAATCATCATTTTTTACATAAATAATTGCCCAATACAAACATACCACTCGCACAAAGAGTGTTAAGAGTGAATATGTTTCATGGTGATAGATGTCAGGCCACCAGTTATCCTCAGCCTGCAGGACTTACTGAACTTGATTTATACACAACGAAGACACCGAGAGAGTTATGTGTGGCAGGCAGCATATTAACTGCCCACTGGGCAATGTGTGATGAGGTTAATGTTGCTTTCCACCCATGTCCACATTTCCTGGGGAGCACCATGAGGCAGCAAAGCTAGAAAAAAGTGCACTTTTATTGACTTTTGCAGATCTTTTTGCATGTAGCAACACTAACACTGGCCCTTGGTAGGCATAGGTAGAAGAAGTGTGTGGAATTAACAATGTAAGAATATGTTATAGTTATTTAAGAGGGCATTTGACCATCTCTTGCTTACAAAGTTACATGCTTGGACTGTTCATACTTCAACTGGATATTCTACACCGATCAGGGATTCCTAAAATATACTTTGATTGACTGTAAAGCTTCTGATAAGAATCTTGCATGATAAAAAGTTGTTTTTATAGTTTTATGTTGTGTGGGTCAGTAGTGGAAGGAGTTTATAGCCCTAGGCATACTGAAGCACTACCACTGACTGCCAGAATGTGTGACGGCTGAGTGTCCCTAAATGTCAGCGCCAACCTTCACACTCCAGGAGACGGGATGAAGCTCAGATGAAAAGTGGTGAAACCAGCTCAGTTACCTGACAGTATTCAGGACTAAATAGTGATGTATTCATTTTATAACTTGGCCTCTTCAATTTGATGCCTGATTGATATCAAAGGCAAATGTAAAAAAAAAAAAAAAAGGATAACAGCAAGCTTTAGTTTTACGTTACACACCAAACATCAGTTCTGAAAAAAATAGTTTAAAATGATCTATTCCGCTTCTGTAGAGAGAAGTATAAACTTGAGAAGCCAGGTGTTTATTTAATGAGTTAGTTCTGGGATTTTCATTTTTTAAAATAATTTAAAATGGATGGGAACCAGTAAACATCAAGTTGTATGTTGAACGAAGCATCCACAGCCCATATCTCATTTTATATTTCATAATGATCCCAGATTACGTTCAGCCAATAAAGCACAACTTTAGGATTGATAAATGGTGAGCAGCACATCCAGACAGGGACAAAAATGAATTGGTGCAGTGGGGAAGGAGCACATTTATTTTTTAGTTACAGTAATTCAGGCTTTGCTGCTTGGTGACTGACGATTTTCAAATTGATATGTACTCGTTGGGGAGTCCCTGTGACGGGACTGACATGGCGGTAGTTGAATTGCAGATCATATTCTGTGGCTGTCATGGAGATGTGCGTAGCTTGTCTGGCGGCTGACATAGATTGAGTGCTCCCTGTCCACGATGGACAAAAAGCCAGACACAAGGCCACTGATGGCTGACATATGTCTGATGATTGGAGATGCAACAACAAAGTTATTGATATTTCTGCTTTCTACCAGGGTGACTATGTCTTGTAAATTTCAAGGATTAAATGTAATCAAAACGAATGAAATAAGTTACTGTCAAAGCAAATGTTGTAAACTGAAATGACACATTGTTTCTCTGTTAGGATTATGACACTCCGAACACTTTCTTTGGGTAAAATATACCGTATGTATTTTCAAATTTATGCTTCAGCTTTTTTTTTTTTAGAGTAAATCAGCATATGCGGCACAACACAGTGGTTCATTTTCAAACTCTCGCTTATTAAATGGGAAAGATGAGTCCTCTCTTCATATTTATATCAGAACCTAAAAGCATAGTAAAGCAAAACAGTTAAAAATTTTAGATTAAATTCTACTCATGGCCCCAGTCAGGTTTCATGTTTAAATTTCAGCAAAAAATGACCACAATTAACAAGAAAGAATCTAAAGATCCATATTAAAAGATTACAAAAATGTCTGGCCACTTAAGGGGAAAAAAAACAAGGGAATGCAGAAAGACTAAAGCATCACACGTAGCACTGTTTGTGCAGACAAGGCAGTATTATGAAACCAGAAATATAAAAAATTATGCTATAAAAATACATTTATGAAATGCAGTTCTTAGCACCACTGATCCACCCTGTTACATTGACCTGCTTGAGTCCAGATTTGACAGTCTTTCCACACCTGAGAAGGTTCAGCGCTATTCCATGTTTTCTTAATTTGTGGATGTTTGACCTCACTGTGGTGTGCTGGAATCTCTCATTAGAAATGTGTTGGTAACCAGACTGCCAATGGCTTTTTTCTGCCCTTCAGTTTCTGCAACTGTGTTGCATTTGAGATACTCTAGCATATTTTAAGTTGTTAGACAGCTTCAGTCTTGCAGCCCAGAGTTTGGCTATTGAAACTGAACTCAGATTTTCAGAAACATTTGGTCAATCAGAGTTAATTTATGAATGAACAAGGTTATTACTAACCTTGGTATCTTTTTTTCTCTTAATACAGGCAGAAAACTGCAATTTTGCTTAAATCATACTATTTGAGTAAAAGTATGATAAATGTTTTTTTAGTTCTCTACAATTCAAGCAGTTGCCTATTATTTACATCACTTGACAGCAGCACAGCATGTCTGTCTTGATGCGTAAAATAACGTATATTCAAAATGTGTTTGTTGTTAAACGGAAACTTACTTTAAGCTCTCGCGTCTCTGCACTGAGTAAACCCAATTAAATGCGTTAACAAACAAGTAAAGATCCACTGCTGCTTGGTCAATAAGATCCAACCCGCAGAGCATGCAAATGTGAAACTGTCGACCCCATTCAATATGGCACCCATTGAGCTGGACCAGCATCATAAGCAACAGGTCAATAGTTGATGTGGATAGTGAGGCTGTTTATTGGCTTAGGCTGTTTCCCTACAGAAAACCTGTTGTCCCCCTGCGAGCAACCCTGTCTCAGAACCCAATCACATGTCAATCCACAGGTCTTATCCCACCCAAATGAAATCAATACGCAATTGAGTATCTGTGCTCATCTGTCAGGTCACAGGTCACAGTCCTATCAATCTGCATAACTGTCGTTAGGGCAAACGATGTCAGACTCGTCAGACTCTCGTTTGAAGGTTGCAGTAATTGGTTTGAAGGCAGTCTGAAATGAATCTAATGAAGCACTAGAACAGCTACAAGTGTCCATTTTGCTCTAACTGCCTGTGTGCATGTCCTCCACCAGGTAAGAGCAAGCGCCATCGCTCAAGACGCTGACCAGAATTACGACTATGCCTCAAACAGCGTGATCCTGCATCTGGACGTCGGGGATGAGATTTGCGTGCAGCTGGATGGAGGGAAAGTTCACGGGGGAAACCAGAACAAGTACAGCACCTTCTCTGGCTTCCTTATCTACCCAGACTGAAGCTAAATTTTACATTCAGAGGAAGAAAAAAAAAAAAACAGAACCGTAGAAGAGGTTGACATGGACATGTACAGTATGGATGCAAATAAATGCACATACAAAAATATCCACACACATGCATGTAAGCCAACACACATGCACACACCTACATTGACGTGTTGTGAGATTACAGTGGGTTGCAACGCGACAAATCTGACAGAGTGACAATTAAATCCAGTGATGAGATACTGAGCCAAAAAATGGTCATCAGTAACGGCATTTATTGGAACACTTTTTCTGCAAATATAGATATCAGGATATACAGGACAGCTTAAATAATTATTTAACACTGAGGCTCAGAAATATCTAAAGTATTTTAATGTAATCTATATTAACGTACATAGTGAGAATGATGATACAGTAAACACCATAAGTTGGATAGTTGAAATGCAACTACAAAATAAAATGATAAAATGAAATTTCGAGGTGAATGCATATTTAATAATCTTTGATTTCAACCATTTCTGATTTTATGGTCGGCATCAGCTTCGGCGCACGTCACAGAAAAGCATACCCAGAATGACTTACACTTTTGTTGTAATAAATTTGATCCCTTTGAGATTGGATCTGAGATGAGACAAAAATGACAGAAAAATGTTGTCATAATCATACATGTAGCAACAAACAGTGCCCTTCACATATGCCTCCACTGCTGGTAAAGATGTACAAAACACTTCAAAATAAATTTATTTTCATTGCAGAAGCAATACATTCATACTGAAGTTGTTTTGAAAAAACCTAACCATCAATTTCATTAACTTTATTTAGTGGGAAAAAAATGCTTCCTCATTGGAAAATCACTGGAGCTGCAATTTCTCTCTATTGAATGATTATGAAGTATTTATTTAATGTGTATTTTACATTAAAATTTTAAAAAATCAAAATATATCTCGCAAGATATTTGGAAAATATTTACGTACCTCCACACGTCAGTAACACGCATGTATACACAGTGTGAAAATATCAAATCATATAGTTCAAAAAGGAGACAAATTATGTGTGAAATTAACCTGTAACTCATAAGAGCTGAAAAGCAAATCCAGAATCAGTGTAAGCAGTTATTATATTCCTGTTTGTCTATATATTGGGTGAAAAGAGCTCAATATTTTTAGACCTGTGTTTTGTGGTCTGGTGAAATAAAAACAAATATTGCATAATGCGTCAGGCCATATTTTGGATAAAAATTTTGTTCAAAAAGAAAACATCATATGCGGGTTTTAGCATCACATTGTTTTTTGTCAGGAGGAACTTGTGAGAGACAATATAAAATAGATATAATATTAGGTAAATAAATAAACAGTGTCTCAAGACATTTAAGTCTGAATCCTAACAGGTATCATGACATGTACTATAATCCTGTGCAAATCACCAAAGTAATTATGAAATGACCATCACAAAGCATTTATCTGAGACACACAGATTTGTGTACAAAGCTGAAAAGGTGTTACAGGGCCTTCAAACCTGACTCAGTTTTGTGAGAATGAAAGTGCCCAACTTCTGAATTTCAGGAAAGTGAAAAAAAATCTTAACTGTACTTGTGTTTTTATCAAGTCAGTAAAATGTGTTAATTCTATCTGAGCTAAGAACATGTTTTTTTTTTGTTTTTTTTTGCTATAGCTACATCTTTATCAGGAGTGTCAAAAACTTTAGTGGCACTACAAAGGAAAACCCCAAGAACATATCATGTATTGTGTAAATATCTTATTTTTTTAATTCTTTGCTGATTACATTATGAGTGAGATTATTTGTATGAGTGAATAAAAGTCACATGTTCAGTGTTTTAAATAGTGTATCAGGCATTACAGACATTTGCAATGACTGTTTTACTTTCATTACATGTAAAAACATCAACTTTGGGAAGGGCAGTCTGGATTTAGAAGGTTGAGTGACCAATTGCTATTAAAACACACGTACCAACTCTACCTGTTTCTGCGTGTTCTTTCTAACCTGGCTGAGACCAGCGTGGAACACCGACATGCACATTCAACATGGCCACACAACCCTCCAGTCCTCAAGCTCAGTTTTATTCGAGGCGACCATTCGGACTCACTAGTGTCGATCAGGACAGTTGTATGAACCGAGGGCAAAGATCGAAGCGGACCACAGCCTCTGCCTGCTGCAAAATGGATTTTCAATACGTCTCAGGATACAATCTAAGACCCAAACATCAGAACAGCTTTATAGGCCTGAGCTCATCACACACCCCAGATCAACAAAGTCCAGGCCATTGTTACTTTTTAAAGGTAACACTGCATACAGATCAATTTTACAAATTGGCTCAGTGTTCGATAAGCCTGGAAATGTATTACAATTATTGTAAAAAAAAAAAAGTAAGAGAACCCAGGAGGAATAAAACCACAGAGTGGGTTCAATATTTGTACAAATATTTTGTCAGGTTTGTTCATTGACAATTTTGTATTTAGTTTATAAATGTTGTGTTTGTCTCACTCTCTTTTGTACACAAGCACAAAATCTTTTCTTCAGCATCTTCACTGTGACTAAGCCCTGCATACATTGAAAAAAATCATAAGTAATGCAGGAAAAAAAAAAACAACGTATTTGCAACTATTACAGTGACGTTTTTAACTGCCTCAAAAAAAAAAAGAAGCATCTTTAAAATATTCAAGTTGACATTATTTTCTATTTGGTTGTTAACCTGTCAGCTAAAACCACAAGCTTTATTTATTTTTGAATTAACTAATTTATTGTAGCCAAGAGGGAGTTTTCGATTGGCTAGTTTAGATATTGTCATAAAACAAAAAACAATACAAAAAAGTTAAAAGAAAATATATCTTTTTAAAAGTCATATTTAGTTCAAATAGTTCACAATTTTAACTAACAGGGAAAAGAAACAGATAATTCTGAGTAATACATCATTCAGTAATAATTACTTTTGTAAAGTCTTGCACTGATTCCTTGTATTGCTGAAATAAATTCCTTTACATTTTTAAAACGGCATAAACGATGTGATGAAATTTAAATCACACCTATAATCAAACAATTGAGTCAAATCCCACAATGCCTCACAGATTCACCTGCGTCTTTATAGAAAAACGAACCCACGTCATCCTCTTAAAATCAGGCACAATGCACAAATATCCTCTCCATCATAAAGGAATTGTATAAAAAAAAAAATTCTAATTAGAGTAGAGATGGTGTCATTCCTGAAGTGAAGGATTTGGAGAATCTGTTGCTTCTGAGGAGGGGGGAAAAAAAAAAAAAACGAAGAAGGATGAAGGCACACCAAGCCTGGGCCCAGCCCACGGCTTTCTCTCCTGGCAGATTCCAGTTGAAAGTTAATTGGACGGGGAGAGGTCTGAGACGGGCTGCGCCGAGGCCCATTAGTGATTCCCCTGTCGAATGCAGAGCCACGAGGATCACAGACTCACAAATAGGAGGATTAAAATAATCAATAGCCTTGACTTCTATCGACCACACACACACACACACACGCACAGTAATTAGTAGAGAACCTATTTAGCGGTGGACTATGACACCTCCCGAACCTTAAGCACCGCACAACCTCACACAATCTCCACTGTTTGACGCCAGTGGTGCCTAATGAGGGGAAATATTTGTGACTGCTTGAGAGGAAAATGCAGGAAAAGGTCATGAAGCCACTGAACAGCCTTTTACTGCTTATGTTAGCGCTTTTGTATCTAAGAAAATAAAATTATATATTTAAAAAAATCCTGTAACATAGCTTTGCGTATGATGTAGCACTTATTGGAAATAATAGACTAGAAATGGGGAGCCAACAACAGCTACACACAGTATTATATTCAGCTCAACACAGACCTGATGAAAACTGTATATAAATAAAGTAGTATATTATGGTTTCTGCTTTAACACTGAGACTAAATCAAAGTAACAACACTGCCCTCTTGTGTGACATGAGAAAATTGCAAAAACCAGCATTTCTGTCCCAGATATTTTACACACAACCGCTTCACATGCTCTCTCCCGCCACTTAACTACATTCACCTTGCTAGGACTGACTTAGATCCTCCTCAACCTGCAGAATTACATGAGCTCAAATACACAGCAAGTGAGAATTCATACAATATGTAATATTAAATATTCAGAACTTTTTCTGACAAATAAGTATATTACACATCTGTTAAGGTGAAATATCGACCATTTGGCCACGTGGCCATAGTGTATTTAATTATATTCAGCCAGCCTGAACATAGAGAAATAAATAAAACCCACTTAGACACAAAAGCATTTCAGGAAAACACATTTATTTAAATGCAGCAACAAATTTTGGGCCAAATTTATGACATGGGGAATGCTTTGAACTGTTTCCAACTACATCTTTTGATACTTTTATGAATAATCATTTCAGCCAAAGCAAGTCATAAAAATATGTTTATATGATATATATTATTGACTTGCCCAATTTTAGTTACATCGTTACAGCTTACGGTGCATTTCGAAATGTTACAAACTATGCAAGCACAAATAATCCTCAATGAATACAAAGTTTATACATGTGAATAGATCTAAAAATGGTGCTTTATGGTTTTTTTCTAGGGAATGTAAAGGCACTTCTTAAATTAAAACTGTAAAATAAACTCATGTAAAAGGTAGGGGTGAGCTGGCAAAGCTAAAAGGAAAATATATAGGAATGTGATTCTGCAGAAATGAAAAAAAAAAAAAAAAAAAAACTGACGCTCCTTATCCGTTCATTACCATCCGGACGAGTTCTGAAATGAAGAGAGAGAAAAAGAAAAAAAAAAGAGTTAGTTTTCTCATTAAAAACCTGGAGATCTGCTCCAATCACAGCATGCAGGACCAAGAGCTGCTGCTCTTGAAGATGCTGCATTTGGAGGCAGATCTCCTACGTTCACCTCATCTAGAGCCAGGAAAAGGGGGTCAATTGAAGATGACAGAAAGGGAAAAAGGTGAGGTAATTATTTCTATCTCCTATTCAGCCAAAACTATTGGTCCTCTAAGATCCACAGAAAGTTGGTTAGAGAAGCCGTCCTCGCTGTTTGCCTTCCTCTAGCTGAGAAGCAGAGAAAACGGGGAGAAGGTCAGGGGAGCTACAGTCCAGTCAGAGCAGCCAGCTACAAATTCAGTTTCCATCAGTAAATAAGAGAGAACAGTCAGCATAAGAGCAACTCCATTACACTCTCTGGTTAGTAAAAAAAAAAAAAAAGACTGGTCCACTCTCTTGAATCTGGTGGCTATGATATACATAATGTAATGCAAATGTAAGAGGACAGCAGCTAGATAGATCTAACACCTTGAAAACTAATAAATGAGGAAACAAAACCCCTAAACACCAACTTTAAAAAGCCCCATTAACATGCAAATGAAATTAGCAGCGCTGTCTAATAACACCACACTCAAAAGTGACCACCAGGCTTTCCCTGAATGAGACCAGTCTCTTCCCATTCTGTCCACCATATCGCCATACAACCTGTGGAGGAGCCATAGACACATGCAGAAGAGCATGCTGCAGCCAGGGGCCAAGGCAGAAGGCTGCAGGAGCAAAACAGAGCGGCAGGAGGCTATATGCTTTAAAGCCTCACGTCTGCAGGGGGAGAGAGACCACCAGGCTTTCTCGCGCAGCCTACTAGTGATGTCTACCTTTCAATAGGCAATTATTTGTTAGCCAATACGAACTATGTAACGAGAAAAACACACTAGTGTCTAGGAACTAAAGAGCGAGAAAGCCTGGAGGTGCCATCCCCCGGGTTTGGACAATGCCCGTACCGGCCCTCAGCCTGACATGATGTGACGAACAAATGCTGTGGAGGAAGAACATTTAACAGATTGTCAGCAATTGACTTCTGATCACAGCTTGATTAAGAGCTTGATTAAAACGGACAAAGACACAACCAAATGATATGAACCGTCCAGAAATGGCATGTTAAATATCGCTTGTCGTTTACTACAACAAAAATGTTTACATTTCTTGTGATCCACTTTTTAATTTTTTTTTTTGTTCAGAAAGACTTGAGGCAAATTCAGACTTCACACAATAAAATATTCAGACAGTGCTTCCATCTCTGTGGTCATTTATATAGTGCTAGAGTAAAAATGAGGCTCAATCTATCTCTAACTACAGTTTTTTCTTGGCAGGATTATCAAATAAACAAACAATCTTGACTAATTTCAAATAACATTAACCACAAAAGTCAAAAAGTTAAATGAACTGTAGATTGTAATCCAAGAAATGTGTGATTTGCTGATGCAAAAGCGCTTTCTGAACATTTGGTTTTTATCACTTCGATCATGTTAAAACTCAGGGTTTCTCTGTGGATCAGAGGAAATGTAGACTTTACGACTAAACATGTTTCTACATAATTAACTTAGCATTAAAAACTGATATTTACTAGAAAACAGTGCTGTGCATTAAGAACATTTCCATATTATAAAAAGCTGGAATAAATGAAGTGGCTTTACTTTAGACTTATTGGAAGCAGAAGTTACTTTTAACATGAGTCTGTTTTCTCCTCACCTTCATAATTGATGCATCCATTTGCATCTTCATGTCCAGCCAGCAGTGTCTCCACTTCCTCTTCTGACATTTTCTCACCTGATGAACCAAAACGATGCACATTTTAATGTGACAAATAATAATTTATGTTTTACTTTTATCATCTTTTGGTTTGTAAAGTGATGTGCAATTAGAGATAAAAATGTCACATACCTAACGTAGTGAGCACATGACGTAGTTCTGCTCCCATTACTGTGCCGTTGCCCTCCTTGTCAAAAACACGGAGTCCTTCCACAAAATCCTCCATGGAGCCCTGATCTTTGTTTTTGGCGATGGCCTGGAACATGGGCAGGAACTGCTCAAAGTCAAGCATCTTGGTGTTCATCTCTGCAAAATGAGAAAAAGCCTAGAAATGAGACACATCAGACTGAAGGCATTAAAAGCCTGACATTACAGGAAATTAATTTTTTCTCAGCCAAGACTTGAGATTGAATCTGCACAATATTTGGAGCGATCTGAACGTATGGGTAATGCTTTACTGTTAAATGGATCAGCAGAGAAGTTAATATTAACATAATAGCTGCTTATAAAGAGAAAGGTATTATTTGGTCACAGGTGCTGCGATATGTTATGTTGCCGTTTTCTCTCAGTGAGGACAGATACATCAATCATCTCAAAATTGAACATTCTGCACAACAAAACTTTGATTCTAATGCGAGCTTTTAAAAACTCTTCTCCTTACATCACTGACAAAGCTGATACAACCCACAAAAAAGGGGTTTATGTCCCTTTAAGCCTTCAGGTTTGTGACTTTTCTCTCACCCTCAGATTTGGGGTTGCCCAGCACTTTAAGCACCTCCGCGTTTACAGGGTTCTGTCCCAAGGCCCGCATCACATCGCCACACTGGCTGTAGCTGATCTTCCCATCTCCTGTCCTGTCGAACAGCAGGAACGCCTCCTTAAACTCTGCAGCACACACAGACATGAAGCCAGTTAGCCAAAGAGCTGAATATTACAAATTAGCTGTTGCATATAGAGAGAAGTGACGCACAGACAGGATGTGGACAACAAAGATTACAACACTGGCTGAGAATAAGACGCCGCCCAAGCAGACTTTAAAAATGTCAGATTATTTCAAATAAGAACACATCCATTTCAAGGGGATTTTTCCTGAAGTGTACAGATTTTGGAAAAAAAAATAAGTGTGATTAAAATGTCTACCTATAGTTAAATGTATTACTACAATGAAAGCAACATCCTGTTCTCTGAGCTCAGCTTGGTGACGAGAGAAACTGCCTTGGTGGTTCCTCAATTCACCAAAATATCTACATTAGTAATTTGGTCATAAGCACTCAATATTTCAACTTCAATAACAGGGAGCTGCCTAATATCTATTTTTTACATTAATACACCACGTGTATTGTGACTTTCTCCATCTTTTGAATATGCATGTGTCAATAGAACAAATTGACCAAACATGCATGTCAACAGTCACCTGAAGGCTCAGATTTTTCCAAACAGTTAACCAACGCTTTGCTTTACAGAAGTATTTAAACTTCCTTATATTTTTAACGATTTGCTATGTTAGAACTACACACTTCAACACAAAGCAGTACACGGTTATGAAGTGGGAGGAAAAAGAAATGGGTTTTTAAAATGTGTACAGAAAGAGTATGTTCTGCATTTGAACTCAGCCCCCTTTTTTATGTAGAACTAAGTTTTGTTGCAGCTACATTATTTTTTTTGTCTTTTTTTTAAGATTCTTTTTTACTAGCTTTCTAATAAGTACATCACCAAGCAAATAATATGCACAGACATAATTGTAAGACCATTTATTTTGCTAAATAACTCAGTCTTCATAAGACTGGGTTCAGTGCATCTGAGCAGCAATTTTCAAGTTTTTCACTGATTCTCGTTTGGATTCAAATCTAGACTTTGGACCATTTTAAAAACAAATGCGCTTTGGTCAAAAAACGTATTCAATTCAAAGAGCCCCTTTTGTCACTGGAACAACAAAATAAAATTTCTCCAGGGCTGCAAAGGAAAATTGATTTTATAAATCAGAGTAAAATATTTTTTTAATTATTATTTTTGAAAGCTAGAGAGATTACTTATTAAAAATAATCATCTAGCATTTACAAAGGAAAAATAAAGCACCTTTTCTTTTTAGAATGACACCAGCTGAATGAGATTAAGATATTCACTTAAAAATGTATAACATAGTTGGAGGTTCAAACATTGTTTTGAAAAGTCTTTGCCATTGGTGCCATTCTGTAGTTGACATTCTGTGAGGATTTTGCTTGAAAACAGAAAACCACCGCTCCAACCACATTTCATGCTTCTTTTATAATTAAAAAAAAAAAAATGGTTTTGTCAGAGCCACAACATCACAAAATACTAAATGCAATCTAAAAAGAAAGTATATAGAATATCAATATACTGAAACTATTTCATTTAGGTTTAATACAAGTTTGGGAGCACTGCCCTAATCTGCAGTTTTAGTACAGATTAAATGATAACATAGGCCGTTCAGACCCAGACATCAGGGAGACACATGGTCAGATTACACAATATCCGTGCAGAAGGCTGTTCCTACTGTTCTGCAGCAAAGTATTCACCAAAGAACCCTCTGGGACTGTTATGGAGTTTTTTTTTTTTTCCTGTTCTGAGGAATGTCTCTCTTCCCTCTGGCCTGTTAGCACAATTCCCAGCACCATATTTGGTGTGAGAGGAGTGGAGAAAAGTAGGTGGAGAGTGAGAGTGGCTATGGCCTATTATGTCAAGGGAAGATTAAACAAACTAGTGTTGGGACAAGACCCGTCCACTGCTTTTCTCCCACACCAAACATGGACACACACACTGGAGATGAGCAACTCGGATCATTTCAGACAAAACGAGGTTAATGGCAGTCTGAAAAAACAAAACCAATGGGAGGAGGTGCGAGCTTAAAAATGTCTGGCTTTGCAAACAAAACATCTGATTACAAAAACAGTACAACACACGTCAAGCCTGGTAAGGATTATCACAAAGTTCATTGTTATGAAGCTCGACAACAATGCAGGATACGTTTGGCTCAAAAGACTGACATGCAGATCACACCCTAAATACTCTGAACGGCCTCTGCGCTTTGAGCAAGGCGGAGGTTCTTCCCTCACTTACCATGAATCTGGTCCAGGTTAAATTCAATCTGGAAAGGACAAGCAGTTGCAAGTGGGGAAGGGGGAGGAAAAGTGATGAAATAGTTCGCAAACAGAGAAAGAAAACCCTAAACCCAGGATTACTGCAACGAGCGGGTATAGAGCAGATAAACAATAACGATAAAGAGATAAGGGTCAGGAATGAAGGAGCGCCAAACAAGTAGGAGGAAAATTGAGACGTTCCCACAGACAGACGCTCACATGCGTAAATAAAAGCAACACTTACCGAGGATTTGATCTTCCGAGAAGTCAGACTGTTCGGGAAGAAATTAGGCGAGAGGAAATGGTTTTAAGGCGCTCTGGCTACTAAACATATTTAACAGGTATTGCGATAGACTCAAAAAGGTAAACCCTCCAACTAGAAAGCATTCAGAAAATATAGCGCAGGCAACTGAGTAATAAAATGAGGTAATCGTATAAGTGATCATTTGAAGCTAAAGCTAGCTCAACAAAAAGTTGTACTTCCGCTTGGGACAGGCTAACCAGTTCACATCTTTAAACTCATGTTAACCGCGCTGCGAAACTAACATCTCCTTTATTAAACGCTGATATTTAGGTGCAAGACTATTGCAGCCAATAAGTCCAACGAAATGGACAAAAACCCACCATTTCTTTGCTGGCTGAGGTGTGTCCGAGGCGACGGAAACCCAAAGAATGTGACGGCTCGATTACAGGCGCACGGAGGGAGAAAAGCCTCCGCTGCGTCACGACGCAGAGTAGGGACGAGGTGACGTCACCGCACAACTGCAGCACTCCTTATATAGAAACAAAAAGCTGGACACGAATCACAAAGGACCGATGCTGGATCTCAAATGTATTTCCGTTTTGAGCGCCCATAAAATATAGATTTCCATTTTCTGTTGAGATATGTTGTGCTAAATGTATTTTTAGATAATGAAACATTTGCTTCTCATATTTCAATCCCTGCTACTGAAAACTTAGTCTGCGAATTTCTATCACTGCTCGATAATAAATAAAGAAGCAAATGTAAAAACAATAAAAAAAAAAATTTAAATTAAATTCCATAACAACAATAATTATTTTTTAAAAAATAATTATTTATTTTCTGTAGTCTCTTATTACTTATTTTATTTTTTATTTTTTTTTAAAACAATATTGGAAAACGTGGCAATTGCTTATTAGCCTTGTGCTGTCATGATGTTGTGTGTCCCAATTTCTTTGCATATTTTATTCAACGCTGTTGAAAATCTTAAAACAGTACTAAAAACTTTTAACTGGAGTCGCAGCTCAATCGTAACTGAACTGAAAGTTGAGCTTCAAAGTGCAAGAAGACAAAACAAGTGAATAAATGTTTGAAAACTAAACTGGATATACGCATACAGTGTTAATCAGGTAATCCGAAGTTTAAGAATATTTGTTAAACAAACTTCAAAACAGAATTGTAAATTGTAAGAAAGAGATGAAGGGAAATTTGTTTAGATATGATGATTGGTTTATGATAAACATGTCTCTGCATGGTGCTGGCTTTATGCAAGGCACCCCACCTCCAACTCAACCACATTACCAATTTCAAGAACAGTCTCTGTGCATGGCCTATACACAATCAAGAGTAATCTTTGAATTCTAAATGCACAAACCATCCAAAAACATAGCAATAAAGGAAAGTTGACTTGAAAAACACATCTTTTCAAGGCAGTTTATTGTTATTCTTCTTATTTTTATTTTCTTGTTTTTCCTCTGGTGAGGAGTTTGACCACAACTAAGAACCAGAGTGACTTTGATTGGGCTATTAGCATTGAGAATATGTGGACATGCATTAATAATGTACCTGAGGTCAGTGAGATCACAGACTGAGGATGCATGTCTGAAGAGCCTGCCAATTCAGTCCACTTTCCAGTCATCTGTGATCCCACTGTGGACATGCATGGCTTACATACTGTCATGTGCGAAATGAGGCATTCACTTCACAAAGCCATGCAGTGCAATGTAACACAAAGTTCCTGAGGGGGGCAGCAAAGCTATACTGTTAGGCAAATTCAGACACATTACCAAAACTCAATGTGAGGCATTATTAGTTTGTGATAAACATTTATGCTGGCATTTTACATGGAAATGTTGATTTGAACTTGATTACCAAGTGCTTGTATTTGTTGTGAGTGATTTTCTTTGTCTTTTGTGAGCTGAGATTTTACCTTACCTCACAAAATGTTTATTTTCATTGAAGCTAAACAGCTTAATGTCGGCCTCACCTGACTATTAAATCTTTCTTCCAAAGACATTTGGCTTGGCCACAAGGGCAACTGTAAATATCAACTGGACTTTGGTTCAGGTGGTGATTCTTTCTTGGCCCACAACTTCTTAGTCCATGTTGATGTTACAATTCATCTGGACAGTATTCACAGCACTTCACTTTTTCCACTTGTTGCTTTATTCCAAACTGCATTAAGTTAAGGCAATTTGGAATTCTATGCATTTTTTTGCTGAGTCTTTTGCAAATTTAAAAACCAAGAAACACTCATTCTCTTAACTATGGCCTTTGCTTAATATAAGGTTTATTCACCATAAAAATGATGTTGCAAGCTTAGGATCTTATCTTTAGACAGTTTGGCCCATTCTTCTTTGCAGTACTTCTCAAGCTCAATCAGTTTGGATGTCACTTTCAGATCTCTCCACAGATGTCTATACGGATTCAAGTCTGGATTCTGGGTTGGCCACTCCAAGATAAATCTTTACTGCAAACACATTTTGTACAACGAATAATATCAGTTCCATTTTTACAGAACCAACTCTGGGTGTCCATTACTATTTTAATTGTTAAATTACTTAAAAGTGCTTTTTAAAAAATTTCTGCTAGTCTTTTGCTTCATGGCTTTAGAAAGTAGGCCACTGAATCTCTTTAAAAAGAAAATAGCTCACACTGTAGCAGGGAACTTGCTCTCCTTCCCCAAGGAGGCTGACTGACTGACAGCCAGCATTCAGTGCCCCATTTTGTTTCTCAACTTAGATTATCTATGAATCAAAATTAAATGTGGTCAGAATATGGCATATCCGCTCTAACAGAGAGCAGTCTAGCAAATGATTGCATACATGTTCATTTTAAATTCTTTGGTGTTATTGTAGGTTATTCTTCTTTACTACCTCAAAAATTTTTATCTGATGCCGTGATTGAAATGAGGTCTGAGAAGATAGGAACAAATTCTCACACTTAATAAATGCCCCACACAGAGTTTGTCGTCTAAACATTCAGGAATCACTCACCTCCATAGTGCTGGGGTCGAATGGTGAATCAGAAGGACGCAGCATCCTTGGCTTCTGCTCTGAAATCGGTTTTGGAGCTGCAGGTGTTGCTGGCAAACAGGGGAAAGGCGGACCAAGTCGTACTTCAGCCACTGGTGAAGGAGACTTCTTAATGGAGGGTTCTCTTTTAGGAGCCATTCCTGACATCTGAGACAACCTGAACTTAGTGAAAATTTGCAGTAAAATCTGCTGGTGTGGCTGCTGCAAAAAGGAATGCAGAGCTGTGAAGTAAAGTGTGCCAGCTGGGTGAATCCCATGGAGCAGAGGAGGAGGGGAGCAGTGGTGTGATGCTGATGATGCTCAGGGACGAAAGTAGGTGAATGATGAAGAGGTGGATGCATGGAACAACATGAGTACAAACGAGAGGCAAAATGTAAGAGGAGTGGGATGAAAGCAAGTATGGAATATGAAAAAGGTGACATATATTTAGAAATAAGCTTGACTGTGCTGACTCTAAGAACATGCTTTTATTTGGGATGTAAACTGGGGTTTTACTCACAGGGGAGCAGAGGGTGTGTTAGGAAGGGTGAATATTATTCACCCTTTTTAATGACAGTGCTGCTAATGCAAGCGCAATATGCACAAGGTCAAAACTTGAGAAGTTAACAATACACAATCACATAAAAACGCACATAGTTTTTGAATTAATTCCTATTAAATATGCCTTATCAGAAATATAAATTAGAATGTATTTATTTAATCCATTCTAATAGAAAATTTGAAGCAGTTGCACAAGTAAAATCCGAGCAAAGTAACACGATGAGAAAATGGAGCGACCGCTAGATGTCGCTAAAACGTAACCTGATGGTTACGTTTAGAAGCAACTTTGCTTCTAAACATAGGAAATAGTACCATCTATCTATCTATCTATCTATCTATCTATCTATCTATCTATCTATCTATCTATCTATCTATCTATCTATCTATCTATCTATCTATCTATCTATCTATCTATCTATCTATCTATCTATCTATCTATCTATCTATCTATCTATCTATCTATCTATCTATCTATCTATCTATCTATCTATCTATCTATCTATCTATCTATCTATCTATCTATCTATCTGTGCAAATTAGAAAACAGATTTACAACTTTTGGCGTCACTCCTTGGGATTATCCAATAATCGCTAATGCTCCCTCTTCCTCAGACTCTGGGCACAATTCATCGCGCGCTCAATGGGCCTTGAAATCACCGTTTCGGCGTCTCGTGCATCAAAACAATGGCGACGTAAGACCCTCGCTGTGAGCCCAACGGCGCTTCTGTGGCTTTAATGGAGCTCCAAACAAACTGAAAACAGCGTGTAATAAAATGGTTATAGGCTATTACACCGTACGAACGTGTATGCATTTATGCATACGTATATATTTGTCAGATTTTTGATTTGTTGACGCTGATGTATGCTCCCGTATGGTGTCTCCCCAGCTGATTGCTGATGAGTCTGCCGAGCAGACAGCTCACTGTCACACGGTTTAAGAAGATTAGCGCGGCCTCGTGTTTTCTTCATCATCTCCAACAATAATCCACCCCATAGTATCTGCTTCAGGGAAGATTATTGCCATTGTGATGATATACAATAGCTGGAAAAATACAAATATCATCTTCTTGCATTTTTCCAGATGTTTGTAAATTGATGTGTAAAACGTGTCTTCCAAATAATCAGACCTTTAATTGTGCACATTACAAATTGTCTTGGGGTTTGAGGTAACTGCTCTGTGCAGGTATTTTTTTCAGTCAGATCAAGAAGCTCAAGAACTTTACCAAGTACGCGTTCAATATTTTTGATTTTTGACAACATTATAAAATAGCCAAAGATTCACACCAGGAAAAGAAATAACTTGTTTATTCAAAAATGAATAAATGAACTTCTGAAAACCATACTATAGACAACACATATTCTTTCCAGCTCCATTTTAAAGTAAATCCTTGTCATTATTATTATTCCTTTGATTACTAAAACCCAAGTTTCTAGTCATACAGCAGTACCTCTATTAGATAAGAATTTAACAACTCTGCTTATCTTAGGAAAAAGAATCACTTTTGATCATGAATAAGAATGTGCTTCTTCATCAGAGCAAAACATAATAATGTTTAGTTGTCAGTGCTTTTGGAAACCAAACATTTAATGTTTGTCCAAACAATCAGACATTTAATTATACATAAAAAAGGGAAGGTTGGTAAATTTTCTCTGTTGTCTTCCCCCAGATAAGGATTGTGAAAGCCGATTAAATTACTATAACTTAAAGGAAATGCTTTGACAGATTCTCCAAGGTGCCCCAACTGACTAATGAAATTATTGCACTGTTCCCTCTTAATGTCATTCAAAGTCCCTCCCTGCATCAGCAAATCTCCACACCACCTGATTTATTTTTAATGATATTACACCCTAAGTCGACTGTGTCATGGTAATAATCAGGGTGCTGCAGCTGCCTCTAGATCACATTAGCCAGCCTTAATATTGACAGTGCTGGGCCCAAGACACAAAGAGGTTACAGGGAGAGAGAGCTTAAAGAAGGCTAGCCATGGGTTTTCTGCGGGAGGCAGAGGAGATGGAGGCCAGTGATCCTCCTGTTCACTATGCCCTGGAGGACCGACACCATCATTATGCAGCTTTTCTTATAGTTCTGGGTGCTTTAAATTCATCAGTGCCAGAAGTAGACCCCATCTTTCCTCAAGACATCAAAGACAAACTGATGGTAATGTTGCACCCAACATTTCTTTCTCTGGGTGCTGTGACTGGCCAAGACAGCTGCACCCTGAGTTGATTCCTCCTGTGAAGAGACATTTGGATGAGGCTCAGAGGCAACAGCTCTGCAGGGATAACTTTGCAGCAGGATTACAGAGAAACTCATTCTCTGGAAATACAGTTGCTTTTACGAACAGCGTCATTGTTTTATTAATGTTTTCTAATAAGGTTGATCTGTTGATTTTTATATACAATATATATTTACAATATTTTTTTTAATGCTCCAGAATAAACACACTTTTCTGTTATTTTCAATCAGAATAAGGCTTCATCCGTTAACTAAATTTATTTTTTAGGCTTGTCTCTTTGGTCTATTTGCATAATGGTCACACTGGGATTCAGATGAGGCCACTTGTGGGATGCTCGCACCTGATCACAGATACACTGTGGCTCATTGCCAGTCACAGCTTTACTGTTGATTCTTCTCAGTGAGGACAACCTCTTCTATTTGTCCTCTTCGGATTGTTCAGAATCACCGAGAAGTTGCAGAGCTGTAAAATATTATCCTCCCAACCCAAATTGTGGTTTACGCTGAAGGAGGTGGAGGGAGGCAGCAGGAGGGGGGTTGTGTGTGGGGGCCCTCAGATTAGCGTCGTTGATTAGTGGTTGGGTGTAATCCTTTCAGGCCTTCTCTTTCCAAAACACCCCAGGGATATCCCCGTCTCCCTGAGGACCAGTAGCGTGGCAGATGGATCCTCCTCCCTCCCCTTTCTTCGGCCCCCTCCAGCAGCACACCAAAAAACAGTGTTCATGTCCTGGGACGGAGGTTGTAAAGTATCCTGAATATGAAACCAGAGGCACCTTTGTTTAATGGCTCTCTCCCCACTTAGTGCGAATCGCCCCCGGGCCTGTTTCCCATTCTACGTTCACATTTCTGCTTGACTGGAATGTTTTCCATACCCTTAGCTAGAGCAGAGAAGATTAAGCGAGAAACAATCTGCTCGTATTGCCGAGATGAAATGCTGCAAGATCTTATCAAAATTCACTGTGGGGTCCATTAGAATTATGCTGTTGACATAATAGTTTAATGGACATGATAGACTGTATATAGAAGACGATGGTCTTGAATCAGTCCGGACCTTAATACTCTCTCTGATCTGATATCAGATGCAGATAACAGACCACTTGTCTGTTGGAGAAACGTATGTAAATCTTAAATAAACAAATTCTTTATTAAAATGACCTGAATACATTGGGAAGACCAGTTCCACTTCTGTTCAGAAAAAAGTGTTGAGAACTTTGATTTATACTAAAACCTTTATGTTTCTGTAAAGCATATTTAAATATGCTCTAGATTACTGGTTCTCAACATTAAATACCACCCCAAGTTGTTTTTTTTTTTTTTTTGAGAACCACGACCTAAAAAGGCATTTAAAAAAAAAACTAAGAAGAAATGTTCATTTTTATTGAGGGACTTATTCAACAAAAGAAATATTCACCTCCAATGTCACATCTTAAATGAAGCTCACTGATTGTGAACTTAATTTCCACACACAAGTGAAAATGTCCGTGTTTGAAGTTAGATAATGTTCAAGAAAGGTCTGTAGCAGCTGAAATTCAACATAGAAAAGTCAGAGATTTTTCCAGGTTCAGGTTTTTACAAGAAATCTTGATTTGAAACCTGGCTAAACTGAATAAATCCAACTTGGATCCACAAGTTGATGGAACAAAGCATAACTTTCCACTAGCATTTTTTTCCTGTTTAAAAGTCTGATCAGGCTTGCTTTACCTTGTCAACATTTACAACCGTAACACCCTCTGAGGGAAGCACAAAAGCCATCAGTGGTACTTATTCCACTTTTTCAGAACACTTGCTCTAGACTAGGGCTGTGTGGTATTAGGAAAACCTGCTATCGCAATATTATGAAAAAAATATTATGATGATGCCAAACATTTTCCCCACAGTCAATTTCTTTTCCATGATCCCAATGCCCCCACTAGTTACCCAGGATCTTGATTACTAAGATGTATTTCAGGTGGAGGCTGATAATTGCACACTTTCTCCTGCATTGTTAGTAAAACTCTTTTGTTCAGAAGAAAGTCTGCAGTCAAGAGCTTGAATTCCTGATCCATTATGGTTCAGCAACAAGCCGTGCAGTCTGGTTGTGGAACCTGACAGAGTTACTGTCATGTTGCACAGCATGACATGTTCAAGCCCTTTGATATTTTTTAAGTGTATGCTGGGCACTTGACTTAAATAAAAGAGAAACTTCAAGTGGTCAGGAGCATTATTGACAATCATACTTTCAATCCTATATTTTTCCAAATTCAAAGTCCTTTGTGATTGCGATATTGTACGTGCTGATATTGTAAAGTTGACTACAATTCAATTTATTGTGCAGCTGTGCTCTGGATTACATGTGCTAAATGCAAAGATTTTTAAGTCTTTAAAAGTTTTATTTCAACATAAAAGT